TCACTCACTTCAGCTCTAATTTGTTGGTGTTTCGTGGTTTGCTCTTGTAAGGTAGCACATGGTTAGACAGTTTTCTTTAAAAGAGAAGCTGACATTGTATGCAGTTGTTCTGGAAGATATTAAGAGACCATTTCATCAATAAGAAATAAGATTTTGCAAACCTGAGAGAGGTAGAATGGCATTCTAAGACCCCCTTGGGAATTCGTGACCTCATAAGGGTGGATATTTTGCCTTTGGCATTGTAGTTATTTATATATTGGCCCAGGAGGGACCACGTAAAGAAGAAGAGGCAGAAAGACTCTTAAGCCCAGAGACAAGTCAGTGTACAGCTTCATCTAGAGCATGGTTCTAGGTCCTGTTAGTGGATTTGAGAGATCCTCACTCCTGGCTATCCAGCAGGGCGTAGTGGGAAAAAAGTCTCTAAACAGAGATTTACTATCAATTTCTATTCAAAATAAGCAAAAAGTTTTATTTGTCTTGACAAATCACAAAGTTCTGAAGACTGTTTTGTTGGATGAACTAATATGAGTTGTACAGTTTAGCATGAAGCAGCTACTTCAGTTCCCTAATTTATGTCCAAAGGTAATGTAAATAAAAACATCTCAGTAAGTGATAGAATAAAAAGAAATGTAGAACACTGATTTTTAGAACAAGAATCTCTATAGTAAATAGCACTTTGTATTTATAGTAATCTGAGATATATTAATTGCTCAGCTGTTTATATCAGCTGCACATAATTTCTTACCACTTATGGCTTTGCCTACATGGAATGCTTTCTGAGTGTTGCTGTTTGCATATAGGGTGTCAGTTAATGAGACAACAATTTAAGTAAGCCATTCTACTTCTTCTGTGGTCTAGACCTGCTCAAGTCTTACTTTTAAATTGCAGTAATTGCCCAGATGTGGGTGCATGTCCTAGAGTCTGCAAATAATGCTGGGATTGCCAAGCTAGAAGTAATTCCTACTTCTGAGATGTAGTTTGCATCTGGTCCTTAGATTTCTAAGGTGTTAATTCCTAACAAAGTAAATTTTGTCTGTCTATAAAAGAAACGTAATTGTTTTCTAATGTGTCAGTTAAAGGAAGTTTGGGTTTTATATTTAAACTATGGAAATTTTCATTAAAGTTAGGTTGAAACCTTAGGCTGTTGACATCTTAGTAATGCTAACTTTTCTGCCACAAAATTGAGGATGTTACTTTTTGCTCATAGGGAATAATTTGCGTTTTTCTTAAGTACTATCAGATACAAAAGCTAATAGGGTTTTTGTTTTAAATCATACTATGGTAATACTGAGTAGCTTATTAACAGAATTTACTGTGTCAATGTAGAAATGAAAAGTGAATTTCAAAAAATATTAATAATGAACAACTTGGTATATTTTAAGAATTATAGTAGCCTTATGGTTGAGTAACTGTAGAATAAAAAGAGTTTAAAACAAACATTTTTGAAGGACAGTACAGAACAGATTGTTGTCAGATTAAATAAAGACCCTGATGCCTTGAGGTGTTAGGCTTACAGGATTCTCGAAAGTTTTTCTTTTCACTGAATTCTTCTTATTGTAATACTTAACGTTGGAGGAAAATAAAATAGACAACTATTCCTTTTTTTTTTTTGCTTTGCTTCTTGAGTTCTATGCTATTTTGTATTAATTATGATTGGATAGTTCAATCTTGTGTAAGCAAGAATTTGCCTTTGAAACATCAAAGAGTTCTTGTTTCATCTTCCACGGAATGTTCAAATGTTGTAGGGTATGAGAGACAGTGCTGCTCTAGACATTGTTCCTTGCTGTGGGTGTGTTAACTGTAGCCTCCTTCTCTAATGTGAACAGCCTTTTCATTTTCTCTTGTTTCTTCAATAACACCTGGACATGAATTCAATGCAGTTGTAGGGGAAACAGTGCCACCCGTTGGATTATCTGTTTGTTACATGTGCTGGTCCTGGAAGGTGAGGTGATCCCCTTAACGATTTTTTTTTAATTATTTTAATTTTTTTATTTTATTTTTATTTGTTATGGATGTATAAATTTGATTGCAGCCAAAGCTTTTATGGAGCATCTTGCTCTCAGGAAAAAAAAAAAAAAAAATTCCTTAAGTGTATTTTATCTGCAGTTTCTCTGACTCTTGCCTCAAAAAGGCATTGTACACTTTTGTTGAAATCTGTGGCTGGATTTTTTTTTTTTTTTTAAATGAAAGATTTAGTGAAATATTTAGGGATATGCAGCAACTATTCCATGTTTTAATCAGATTGGTGTTTATTTTTAATTTGATACTAAGTGCTTAGCCAGGATAGCTGTTAGCATATGACTTCCCATTTCTCAATCTTAAACAAACACTAAGTTATAAATTAAAAGATTCTTTCCTTCCAGACAGAGAAAAGTTATATTAAATGTGTTGCAATAAACAGAGCAAGGAAGCTTCTCCTCATGGCCTAGTTAACAAAAAAGGCAGTAATAGACATCCATATATACTTTTTCCACTCTTAAGTTCTAGTTGCAGCAAATTTGGGGTAACAGTCTCTCTCTATCCACAACACTCTTCAAGCATAGCAAGGTCCCTAAAATAGGTGTTATCTTCCATGGCAATCTAGTGAAGATTAGAACAAACTCAATAAGCATCACCTAGGGTTTGAATAACCAGGTTGCATTCATGTTTATTTAGATGGGAATACAGAAAAAGAATTTGCATCTGAACCTCTATCATATAGTGTAGAAGAGTGCTTTGGTTTTTATATTTTTAAATTTATTTACTAATTTATTTTAATATAACTCTAATCTGATTAGTTCAGGCTCTGTTTTCCCACACATTTGATGGATTCAAGTTCAGCTCAATACCTCTCTCACTTAGCAAAAAAAAGTGAGTTTCTCTGATAGCAGGATTAAACGATGGAGTTTAAGATTCCATTCTCTTCTGATGCACTTTGTGTGATTCTTGGGGACATTATGAATTACAATGTTAGGTATGTGTTTTAAGCCACTAGAAGAGAAAATAAGCTTTGATTTAAAATCAGTCATATGTATTACAGTAGGGAAATGTAGTTCTGAATAGTTATCTCACTTGTGGCGTAGCATGGGATTATGGAGCTGCTTGCAAAATACAGATATTTGCATTTTAGTGGCAGTTATATGAACTGTCGTAGAACATTCAAATTCCTTACATGTTTAGGGACACCTTACACAGACTCTCTATAATATTATTTAAACAGAACAGTGATGATTAATAAGGCATTGGATATAACTGAAATGTGAGGCTGGTGTACAGTTATGCTGGGTTTGTTCTAGAAGATTCCTTTGTTTAGGAAGTAATGACTGAATGTTATAGCTTAAGATTTGCTAAGTGAAAAGGAAACTAAAAGTTGTTATATACTTTGAAAACTCGAAAGGGTGAGAAGAGTGTTTATAGAGTCCCAAATGGATTACAAGTTTAGTTTCTCAAAATTAATTTTGCATTAAGTGGTCATTTCAGCATTCTGCAACCCAAATCTCCTGCCATAGGGTATATCTCTTTTGTATTTTGTTGTTTGTGTTTTTGGTTCGTTGGTTGGAGGTTTTTTGTTTGTTTGGGTTTTTTTGTTGTTTTTATTTTTGCTTTGTTTTGTTTCCCCTCTGTTCTTTGTAGATTGTTTGCTTTTTTTTTTTTTAAATCTGGTTTTGGGGTTGATTTTTAGGAGATACATATATTTTAGTAGTGGTTTTGAGGATAGGCTAAAACATCCCCATTAGTATTTGGACTTAAATTATTTAAGAGTAAATAAATAGCTGTACTTGGAAACTGGTTTGGGTCAAATCAAAATTTTCTAAAACTTTTCTTAAATTTTAACCACTTCTGAGCTAAGAAGTTATATTTTAACTGACAGTTTGAGGATCTGCATGTCCCCTTAGTTATATCTGAAGGATCAGTTCTGTGTGTTTATTTTAAGGGACCTTATTTCTAAGCAGCTTTTTTGAGATGTGCTTGCCAGAAGACTAAGGGACATTTTATTTTGATTCTATAGACCAGCATATCACATGAGTTTGAGGAGACATAATTTTCCATTTTCCACATCCTCAGTGCAGCAGACAGAAATCTTTGCTGATTTCTTCCAGAAGAGTCAAAAATTAGCTTATTTGTCTCATATTTTTAGATTCCAAATTGGCCTTTTTCAAGTGGTAGAAACTTAGAAATATTTTTCAAGAGGATTTTTCAAGTAGAAACCTAGAGTAAGGATATCAAAAATCTAAATCACAATGGGTACATAAGCTATCATCTTTGGGAACCTGTAGAACAGCAATGGTGTTGGTTTTATGTTCAGAAAAAAGAAATTGGAGACAGAGGGAGATGTAATTAATCCAGTTTCTTCTGCATCAACCTGAAAAGCAAGTTCTGTTTTGTTAATAAGGTCTAGATGCCAGACCTAACAAAATGATTTGGTTCAAAAACTTAACAGATTTAAAGGTGGGAAAGGGTTGCAATGCTAAGGTATCCAGGGTATGTATTCCTTGGATCATGACATTCTGCATCAAGCTATTGTTTTAACTTGTTTGAAAGTTCACTATAGTCTCAATGGACAAGAGTGCAGAGTAACTGCATGTTTTGACACAGCTCTATACTTTTCCTGTGGGTTTCACATGTAAATTCAGTCTGATCTGTAATCACTCTTTGTTTATGTACCAGTGAGCAATCCTGAAGGATAGGTCTGATAAAGCTATATCATGATTTGAATACTATGCATTAATATTGCATGCCATTTAAAAATTAAGAATATAGTTTAGCAGAGTTTAGGATCTAGGACCTAATTCTGGATTTCCCTGAACTAGGATTTGTCTTGTGTCTCTTTTTCAATACAAGAAAGCATTCAATGATAATATATAATGTTTGAAGTTCAAGTAGGAGTATTTTTCTAAAGAAAATGAAAGCTGAAATAAAATGATACTACCTTGTGATTTATTTTCCTTGTCTTTTTTGTGTGTGTAAAAGAAAAAATATTTAACTCTGTTAAATAATTACTCTTTTCTTTTCTTTTTTAGGTTGTCTTAGTCTTCGCTCTTAGTATTGGTGCTCTTGTAATATACTTCATAGATTCATCAAAGTGAGTATTCTAGTACATTTTCCTTTCCTGCAGCAATTATACATCTTTAAATTGCTCCATTCATCTTCTTCAAATCAGTGCTTGGTCCCATTGCCTGAGTGCAAAGAACTTTATAATAGCACATGGTCCACAAAAATAACTCAAGAATGGGAAAAAGATCTTACATAAACTAGACTGAACACAGTCACATTGGATTTGTAGAATAAATAGAGAGAAAAACTACTTTTGTGTGTTGAGATTATACATACTATTGCAAAATTACAGTTTTTATATTCATTATGCAGGTGTAGAATTTTTCAGTTTCAAGACTGGGATAAGATATACAGGCCAACAATATTTGCCAAAAATTGCAGTTTACAGGTGAAAAAAGGTGTCTTGGGAGATTGACAGGAACAGTTCTGAAAACCTTTGAATGAATTAGACAGTACAGCATTATGTATTGCATATCTGTTCATATTTCCAAATTCTGGGTTTGATAGATTTCTATCAAGATAACGTGAACCAGCAAAAGTCTTCAAAGCATCTCAGTATTTTTAGATTTTACACTAATGTTATCTTCTAGTGTTGGCCAGGCAATAGAAAGTTTCATCCTGACCTTTTGAGGTATGTGATTGTGTGATACAAACTGGTGTGACTTGGAATATATTTTGATATTGTTTTCATATCAGACTGGACACTCAGTGTTGTAACAGGCAAAATGGTAGCCTAACACAGAAGAATAAAAGGGGACTTAATATTCTTCCTTGAATTCCAATTCTTTTGGGAGGATGATATTCAAAATATCAATAGCATTTTGAGGTTCTGTGACAACATTCTTAATGCTTTTCTCTGAACTAGTTTGAGGCTTGCCATTACTGCAGTGGTTAAGGTTGTGATTGTATGCCTAAGTTACTCCACGTGAGCCCACCTAGGTGTCTCTAATGGTAGTGGTTGTGTTCTAAAACAATCGTTCTGTGACTCAGAAAGTCAGACATTCCACTGTTGTCATCTGGATATACTGATATTTAGGAAGGTGTTAGCACCAGCAAAAGGTATTCTTGGATACATGGATGTCAGCTCTGCATTTTGTGAGTTTGAAGCTATCAATGTGTCAAACATAACCCAAATAACTATGGGAGAGATGTTGTTTACAGAGACGAGTCAAGTGGTGGGAAAACTCAAGTTCTATCTTCAGCTCCCTTGAAGAGAGGAAAGTTATTTTTCCTTCTTAACATTGCAATGAGTTTTCATTAATTTTTGAAATGTAGTATGTCACCATTGAAGTACATAAGATGGTACTTTTCTGAAAATCTTTGTAAAAGTTTTAAAAGCCCATTTTCTGGATGCTTATATGTCCAGGTCAAAAGTGTAAAATAGAATAAAACCTGTTTCCACTTATCTTTCAATTTCACATCAACAAAAGCTACAGCTATGTGTTGGGGCAATTTTGTGAAACTAATGGATTATATAATGAATTTTAGGCATTGCATTCTTCTAGTCTTTGATTGCTTTCCTCAAGAAGAGCAAAACTGACTGGGAGATGTCTCTGGGGTGCTTTCTGTGAGCCACCTATTCCATGTATTGCTACTGGCTTATTGGCTACTTGATCAACAAGTGTTTTAACTGTGCACTTCTCTTGGTTTTCAGTCAACATTTAGCTCCTGCTGCAGTTTAAATTTAGCAACCTCCAGTTAATATACTCAACTTGCATACTTTTTTTTTGGTTTCTCCTCCTTCTCTCTCTTACTCTCCTTTATTTCCACACACACATCTTGGTCTTTTTTTTTTGTTTTGTTTTTTAAATGCTGATTAGTAGTTTAATTCATGTTAGAAACACCACAGATATATTGCTGAATGGAAAAATTCTTCTTTATTCTGTATTAGCAGCTGATCTAACACCCATTTCAGTAATTTAGAATCAAATATAGTGATATCTGAGTCAATTTCAGATCCACGAGTGCATGCTTAGAAAAGTTATTCCTTTGAAAATTTGGTTAAACAGGAAATAATGAAGGTAGGATGAGAGGAATACTTGTGATATCCTCAACAAAACAGTTGGAACAACAGAGACTACAGCTTGACCAGGAACAGAACAGAAAAATAGTATCTAGTGCGCACACCAAGCAGATGGTAACATGCACTATTGCCTGCTTTCCCTTAACAGTGCATTCCATAGCTTTTGTGTTCTGCCTGTGCCATGGACTCTTAGCTGGTATTTGATCTTATGCATACAGTTACAAAAAACATGTCTTCGATCCAAAGCTGAAGAGTACTAGTGTACGAGTTGTCTAAAAGAAATGCCAGTTATATATTCATCCAAGACTCTTAATCTGTCAGTAGATTTGCAGATGCAATGACAGGTATGTCCACAAAGGAATCCTGCATGACTTCACACTTAAGGGGGATGAAGAAAGGTGGAAAAAACAACATCAGTTTCTTAGATACTGAAGAAAGGAGTGAAAAGATCACAGTTTTGTCAGGCAAGTATGTGTGTCATGATTAATTGTAGTGGAAGACACCAGTGTGAAGACTGTCACAGCTGTAAGAAGAGGGTAAACTAAGAGCATTTTTATACTACCCAGTTCATCACTCTAATAGACACTGCCAGACTAGTACCAGATGAAATGGCATGTCCAGTGCAATGCTATTTGGAGAGATCTGAGGTCAGAAAGTAGTGCAGTTTCATCAACGTACTCCATACCAGTTAGTCCTACATCTTAGCAGAGCCAATTAAATAGCTTTGTGTTGCTATAAAATATGTCTGTACTAATTCTGTTTCTGGCACAAACTTAGGAACTCTGCATCATACTTCATTACAAAATATGAGCACAGTTTTGATCATACACATCTGGTTTAGTCTGAACTGACTGAATTTCTTAGTAAGAAGCAGTGCTTAATTCACCTTTTGGGAAAGGTTCTAAACAAAATCACAAAAGCAATTATTCTTGGTAGAAAAAATGAAGGTTACTAATTTTGAAAACTATAGAGGTTCATCCAATCCTTTCATTGAGATTATTCTTAATTAATATTATTCAGTGCTTCTACTTTTCACAAGACATCACTTTGAATTGTTGTCTCCACAAGGTGTACATAGAATATTTTTCTTTAAACTGAATATGTACACTTTCAATGATGTGTTTTAGCAACTAATGGAAGATTTCAGTCCTTAAACTGAGAATTTATTTAGCAGAGAAATGACAATTTGGCATTTCTGTCAAGTAAGTTCAGTCACAACATGTTAGGAAATGTTTTACTTATTACTATGGACTAGACTCTTTCCTTCCTTTATTTTTGGAATCTCATTCATAAAATACTGTTTTCTTGGTCAGTGGTATTTTTCAATATTGGGAATAGCAGATAAATAAGAAACATTTACCAAAGAGATATTATAAATACTATTGACATAATTTTTTTAATCTTTAGGTAACAAATACCCTGCACATCTCCATACCCCTTTCGTCAATGCTTAAATAATCAAATAATTAAATTTTATTTTTAGATATTTTTTTTTTCTCTTTGATGTCTGTCTTCCATTTTTGGTTTGAATAAAAGCACAACATTCAAAGAAGAAGTCATAAGCAGATCTACTTCAGTACAGAATAACATCATAATTTTAATGCTGGTTCTTTTCCTATTCGTGTTTCCTTTAAAATTTATCATCATTTAATTTTTCAAGGTAAGAAAATAATGGAGTTATCCTCTTCTTAAGAGGAAAATCTGACTTGATATGGTTGTTGGGAGTCTACTGAATGTGCTGCAGTAGAATAAAGCTTGATGTCTGCCAATGCTTTTTAATTTTATGTGCTTTTTTATATGTGGTTTTCACGAACTTCCCCCTTCCTTTGTCCACTTCTGTTTATTTTTCTGCATGTAAAAGGTGCTTTAACAAATACATATAGAAGTACTTCTCTGAGTATTATTTACATCAGTACTAGAGATGCATTGCCCATTTTCATTTCCATTTGTCATTTTGACCTCTGCATATTGTACAGAATTACTGACTTGAATAGAATAGAGAATAACATTTGCCATGATCATCTTTAGGCATGGTCAGTAAAAGCATTAGGGGAGAGCTGCATTTTCTGCTGACCTGGGAACCTGGGCTCCTACTTTCTATTTCTTGTAATGGCAGTGGCATGGAAACTGTTTATGGTGTGAATATCCCTTTATGCTCTGGTTCTGGGTTCTCTTCTGGGGTGCAGTATAATGTAATAGGCAACTATAGATAATAGAAGGTGGGTTTTTTGCCAAACAGATTACTTTCTAATGACCAGTTGTTTCTTTCCTGTCCCTTGAAGTTTATCTCATTTACTAGAGTCCCTTCCCTGAAAATTTATATCAGTGTAGAAATCATAGAGGCCATCAATGACAAAGTGAAAAAAAAGAAAAAAGTCTTACAACTTGCTTTTTATACTCACATGTGCTTTTCAGATTAGCTTTTTGGAGTTGTTTTCTCAGAGGCACCAGCATACTTATTCCTTAATAGGTATTTTTTTTTCCAATACTGTGTCACATTGTACTTGATTAAAATTGTACATAAGAAGTACCATTTGGCAACGAGTGTAAAGCAGCTGGATCTAAGAATAACAGTAGCACTGTGAATAGGAAGATTTATACCAATATACAGACACGTAGGTTCATGCTGAGCTGTGAGCTTGTTCTCAACTGTTGTGTTCTTAATCAGAAAGCTGGAAAGTGGTTTCAGATTCCTAGCCTGGTTTGTAAACTAATATTTTTAAGTGAGCTTTGTGCTTTTTGCAAATGTGTCTATTTTAGATTTTCCTTAAGGCTTTATAAGTTTCTAAAGCTATGAGAAAATACCCTACATACCCTCCAGATCTCCATACCCCTTTCATCAATGCTATGACAGGAGAGGACAGCACAAATAGACACGTTTAGCCACCACAAACCATTAATCAAATTATTTTATAAGAAAAAAGAAAATATCTTTAATTGTTAAGCCACCTTGTCATGATTACAGTTTCATTGCTGATATGCATTATTCTTTCTTTTGTCCAACT